GCCTCACCAGCTGTCAACCTCACCGCACGTCACTGCACACATTCATTGATCTACATTCATTTCCTGGAGACTTACCCTTACCTTAACCATAACCATTTCTTACCTAACATCTAACCTCGCCTTAATCTTAAACCAAGTCATCACTTTAAAAATTGTTTAGTTACATTTTGGGGGCTTACTTGTTGTCCCCATTCAGATGTCAAGTCCCACAATGTGACTGTGTAATATGTCCCCATAACACATACAATGCGAGACCACATACACACACACACACACACACACACACACACACACACACCATCTGTACGATTTCCTCTCTGCACCTGCTGCTGCTGCGTATCAGTGAGTGAAATGTCGCCTTTGATGACGCATGGCCATTGGACACGGGAACCCAGTGACTTTTAAACAGGTCCAAAATGTCAAACTCTATTTACTTTTACCCAGCACAAATAAAGAAGATACCTCTATATACAGCATATAACACATTGTATGTCTCCTACTCCCTCTCCCTCATCTATTCCCCCACATGAATACTAAATTCCACTGCTGGCAAACAAACATTTCGTCTGTTTGGCTCATTGGCAGGGGAGGTAATTGAGATTTGGAGTTGTATGGGTGTGTGGGTGTGTGGGTGTGTGGGTGCGTGTTTGTGTGCCCACGCTCAACCAATGTGACTGTTATTGATTACGTTTTTGAGAGGAAAATAAGAAGAGGCTGAAGGGAGAAAAAATCAATCATACCCCCTCTCCACCAGCCACCCTCCACCCCCAGATCAGATCGTGGTGACATGCTGTTAAATGAGCGTGCTTAAACGCTAGGTCTGGGTGAAAGCTCTCCAAGCCTCCCAGTGCCAACTACCAGCTTTACTGAATCAGTGCTGGAGGCCTTGCTGGCTAACACTTGAGTGAGCTGAGAAGAGATTGAGATAGAGGGATGGAGGAAGGGAGTGAGGGATGAAGGGCTGAAAGGTAGAGAGACTTATGGGGAGAGAACACATCTGGAGACGTTATATGAGGCTTGCAATTTTTCATTTTCTTTTATCCCTCAACATCCACTTCTCCATCTCTGTGCTGAGAGGTAACTAAGTGGAGTGGTCATCCTGAAGGCCAGATTAAGAGAGGAGCCAGTGTGTAAACACTGCAGGAGAAGATGAGGAGGAAAAGGATGGTGGAGCAGATTCTAGTCTTCTGTGTGTTTTAAGAAAATGTCAAAAATTCTCAGTGTATACCTTGATCTCATTTCTACTTTCCCTTTTTCTTTTAGCTCCCTGTTTCTGCTTTTATCTAACTCTCTTCCCTTTTCTCTGCTAGTCCAAATTATTCAATAAATACTCCTGCCAAGGCAGTATACTAAATGTTGATTTTCAAGTCCAGGAAACATTGGTTTATAAAGTCATAACGAAGCATCATCAATAAGACAGAACTGTTTCAAAAACTGAGCCTGTCTCCAGTTTGTTTGGATGGAAACCTTGTTATGCTATAATAAATGATCATTATTCACTGTATGCTATCATGTACACAGTGTTTTGGTAGGTTTGTTGATAGCAATGCATCATATTTTTTAAGCTAGACATACAGTAAGTTTTGCAACATATGTAATTTTAATAAGCAAATTAACTAGTAGCTGCTGTCAAGTAAAGCGCAACCTTAAACGTGTACTTAGGCACAGAAGGCTTAATAGCATAGCACTTGCCAGAAATGGGTTACATAACATTGCTGGCTTCTTCAACCCGTTGAAGCAACAGACATAGGTGACTTTTACATTAA